TCTCTCCATTCAATTTTATATTCCTGTTTATATCAGAAATTGAGGGCACAACAATACAAAAGTGCCACTTCAAATTTTATTTCATTTCTTGATTAATCCTTTGAGCAGTTCATAAATGTATTTTGGTCATAATCACCCTCCAAATCTTCCATGAATTCTTCCCACACTCGTTGTCCCCTACACTCGACCCACTTTGGTGTCCTTTTTTCTTTTTAGTAACTCACTGACTCTAATTTGTGTTGCTCATATACTCCTGAGGATGGGATAATTCACTAGAGAATCGTCAGTCTACCAAGAAATGTACTTTAAAAGAAAATGTCTATCCATCCCTCCTCCAGAAGCCATCAACTACTCGTGTGGGGATTCATGATTATCTTCCCACTCCATGCTAAACTATTGATGGCCTGTGTGGGTCTTGGCAACCATAACTCTTGTGAGCTAACGATCAAAATAGTTCTGTCATGTCCAAAAGACAATATTTTGCTCAGCTCCCTTGCCACAACCTCCAGATCTTACTATCTTTCTACCTCCTCTTCTGCTGGGGTTTCTGAACCTTGAGGAGGGGATCTGATACAGATGTCCTTTTCTGGCTGATATCCATTAACTTTTACTCTCTGTGCTTTGACCAGTTTTGTCTGCATTAACCATCAATTGCTGAACAAAGACACTTTTCTAATGGGGTCTGAGAGCTGCACTGATCTATGGATGGAGGTATATGAATTTAAAGAGTGGTTTGATTCTGCTAAATGGACATAGTTTTCAAATTTTATTTTATTTATATTACTGTTTACACAATGACAGCACATTTAGGCTCAAGGTGCCTTTCTGCTCCGATTACAACCACTTCATCTTTTTCTCTCCATGTCTCTGGGCCAAGAGTACAATACAAAGACTTTGATGACATCTAATAAACATGGGCTAATGAGTCAGAAGAACCCATGGCCACCTGCTCCCTGGGTCTTAAGGGAAAATATGGAACTTCAGCTGAATATGTGGTCATTTTCTTTCCTATTAATTTCGGAGGCTCATCTGTGAGCTGTGCTCTCTGCTCTGCTGGGGTGACACAGACATGACAGATGGTACTCTCATGGCCAAGTAGCTTATTCAGAAACACAGTAAGGGCTACAATTTTTCCTATAAAAGTCTTATAAATCATTTGTATACATTTGAGCAGGAATAGTGTGGCATGAGTGATAAATTCTATTCTTTAGAAATATTAGTTGAAATAGTATTTGTATAATAGGTATGTTTGTTTATGCTCTTATCACACACACATACATAAATACACACACATATACATATATATGTGTATATATATAATCAATGAATCATAAGTATTTCATTTGAAGACTTGGGTCTAAACAGAACATCAACAAAAATGTTGAAGGCACTCCATAAGATAAAGATTTTTATCTGGTAGAAGAATAGATATTTATTAACCAGTAAATTAAAGGTTTAAAAGCTATCCATATCAAAAACATTTTAACAACTTCAGCTTTAAGCACCTATGATGATCTAAGGAAGGTATCTATAGCTATAAAATGAGTAGGCCACCATTTATGGTTCCATCAACAAATGTACAGGTGAAAAGAAAGCCAATTACATTAGCAAAGAGATAGAAAGGGGGTGAATATTAGCATTAAGAAAGCATCTAGTATATAATGAGCAGGAGCAGACAAGCTCTGAAAGTGAAGGTCTAACCCAGGCAATGCAAGGTCCATCTCCAGCTTCCTGATCACGTGAGACTTTTCTATCTTTGCATAGCAGAGCATGAATCATAACCTTTTTATATCCTGCTACAAATTATATACATATGTAATATTATATGTCTATATTACTCAAAGAACATACAAATATGTCCAAAGAAGGGCAAAATGTCATCAATAATTATACATACCCCATTACATTTACTTGGATCATAATTTGTAAACCTTTTAGATTTAATGATATGCCATAAAAATCACTCAATGAAATTGTATACTCTTTACTAATATTTAAGCTCAATAATAAAGTCACAGATATTTTCAGATTGAAATAAACCTTAGGCCATCTTGTATAACTTTCTAGCAGCACTTCCGTAATCTCTGTAGATGACCGTGAATCCTTTCCTGAGCAGTCAGTGACTTACAGCAAAATCTGCAACTCCCCTAGAGGGAACCCTCCCAGCTGCTGGAAATGTTAACCATAAGAATCCTTTCCATAGTCTGAATTTGCCTACTACTGTTTTTGTTGGTTTGTTTTTCTCCCTAGAAGAACTCAAGGTTTGGAATTCAATTAAGATTTTCCCCACCTTTTCATACCATGACATGACCAGGCCATGTCACCTGTAGTTCACATAAGGCCTTTAAAGATTCAAAGACATCTATGAATGGACTAGGGATGTAGGTCAGTGGGAACAGCACTAGCTGTGCAATCGTGAGGACCTAAATTTGATCTCCAGAAACTAGCACCCCTATAAGAAAGTCCAGATAGAGTGGTGCATGCTTGCAATTACCCCAGTGCCCAATGCTGAAGCGGCAGGGACAGGAGGGCCCTGGTTTTCACTGCCTTGGTCTGTTAGGTGAGACCCAGACCCCAATGTGCACACACACACACACACACACACACACACACACACTCATATAACACACAAACTCATATACACACATGTGTACACTCATACACCTCTACAACCAGAGACACTTCAACATACACATACACACACATATACACACACAAAGAAAACACTGATGAAAATGACAATACCTTTAAAGCACTACATGGATTCTAAGTGTCCTTCCCTCCATTTTTAATAATTGAATACATGTTATTGCTTTGCCACAAGTTCTATTTATAAGACAGGATCTCAACTGCTCAGTAGTGTCCCTTATACATTGTAGTATGCATAATCACTTTCTTATCAGCAACTCTCTTGGATACAGGCTGAGTTTTGAATGCCTCCTGTTTTAAAAAATAGATAGCATATGGAAATAAAGAGGGTGACAACAAAGTAGAGTAGGAAAATAAAACAGGAGTGCTTGGCCGTTAATCTGCACTGCAGTCTACTCATTATTGTTCCTACCAAGATGCAAGAGTTTTTGCTCATGTTCGTGACATTTACAACAAATAAGGCTTAATGAACTGTAGCATATGGGGACTATCTTAGGAAAAAACTGTCTTTTAAAGTAGTAAATGATCAGAAGAGTAACAGATACATACTGATTTATTTTTCACTAATTGCATAACTGATTAGGCACAAGCAGTGCCCCTTAAATCATCTAGTTTTGCTCTTCATTAACTGGAAGAAAGGGAAATTTGAATTATTACTTGAAATGATATTGAAGATTAATCTGTGCTTTTCTTTTCCTTCTGTCCTCCCTGTCACTTCCTCCCTCCCTCTCTTCTTCCCTTCCTTTTTTTTTTGTGGTTGTTTTTGGGACATAGAGTAACAAGGTTTTGATATGTAACCCAGGCAGGCCTGGAACTCAAGGTCCTCATGCCTTGGGCTTCCAAATTCTAAGCATATAAGAACATTATCTGTGCCTTTCCATTATTCATGATTCCACTGACACTGTCCCTCTAGTAATATGGCAAGCTATAATGAGCCCTGAATATAGTAAGTAAAATAAAATACTTGTTTAATTGGTTATTATTTAATGTTGCTGTTTTGTCATTGCTTGGAGGTGATTCCTATTTGTGTTCATCCTGAAAGACAGCTCTAAAACAAGGAATTGATAAATTGTTTGCATATATGACTAGCCCTGAAATAATGTGTAGGATGATTATCAGGTTAGATGTTGAGCCCCTGTTACTAGCCCTTCTGGGCAAATGTAAGCAGTGGCCAGAATCAGCTGCATTAACCCTTCATCTTCTTTTGGTTTGCATAGTTAGTATATGCAAGAGATAACAGAAGGGAGGTGGTCACCTCATCTCCCAGCTGCCCTTGCTCTTGCCTTCAGCAAGACATTGTATTCTTCTGTTTCTTCCTCTGTAAAATCTGGGAACTCCTGACTGATTGTAGGTTGACCCATTCTGAAAAACAGCTTTGCAGTTGAGGACTCTTGAAATGTGTTCAAATGTGAAAAGAAATCAAGCAAGATGTTTGTTAGTAGCAAGTTTCAAAAACGTATTATTTTCTATGATCTTGAAGTGATGTGGCTCTGGATTGGCTGAAGCCAGACTGTCAAATATTAATCAGTTACACAAAAGTGGATAATTCTGGGAAAGAAACTGTGAAGTCAGGAATCAAAATGGAGCTCCGTGGTTTCAGAAGTGACAGCTTCTGCTGAGAAAACTGTCATTCAAACTTCCATGAGCATCAGTGAAACTTATTGGGGAGGAAAGACCATAGGAGGCTCGGTTTGATAAAATACGGTGAAGGCTTATTTTATTTTAACTCTCACAGCTCAGTACCTAAGGTCTCAGATTTTTCTTGGGCCTTTTCCCCACTGGGGGCGGGGGTCAAAGGTTTATTTCTGTGCACATATGCAGCTAGCAATTCTTCACCCAGGTGCCTTTGTCGGTAAAGTCACATGGAACTTCTGTGCTGAAGAGGTCATGAAGACTAAAGATTCCTGCAGAAAGGAAGCCAGCATCCAGCGAGCATCTTCAGAGCTGGTATCACATGCCCAGCCCAAGTATGCAAGAATTGGTGTACGTTCGCTGGATTCTGAAGAGTCTGATTCCTATTAGAGATCTCTGCAGGTAAAAGGAAAAAATAGGGATACTAACGACTAATGAAGTATGTAGAAGTGAAAACAAATCCAGCCGTTGGATATTTGGTACAGAATGTATTTAAAAATTTTATTATTAGTTAAACTCAATTCTGGCCACGGAGTTCAGCTTGTCTTTAATTTCACCAGCCTCAGTTATTCAAAACAAAAAGAGCCTGGTTCTATGCGTGTGTGTGTGTGTGTGTGTGTGTGTGTGTGTGTGTGTGTGTGTGTGTGTTTCTACATTCTTCACATTTTGAGTCCCTCCTAAAGAAGGAGATCTGAAGGCATGTGTGGGTTTTGTGGATTAAGAGGATGGTGGATATCTCTACATGACAAGCTTTGCATTGGAAGTCTGCTAAACAAAATGTGAAGAGCTGCCCACAAGGTTGTAAATCCTCAGTCTACAAGGAAGAAGGGAGAAACAGGGCGAGCGACTGAAGTGTGTGTGTGGCTGCAATGTTTGTGGGTTAGATGAGAAGCGAGAGCTGAGTGAAGCCGAGAAGGAGGGGGTGGCTGGTGTGATTTGTTTGGTGTTCCGAGCCAATAGAAATCCCAGCCTGTGATAATATCCCCACGCAGCGCAGCGCCGAGAGGATTCAGTGCTGTCTCCAGCTCCTTCCACATCTGCAGGCGCTGCCGGGACGCGCTCCGCCCTCTGCGCGCTCTGCTTGCTCCGCTCGGCTCGGATCGCTCTGCACACCCGTGCTGCTTCCCTGGCCTCCTGCGGAACCAGGCTGCGGCTGCCCTGGGCGATCCTGTGCACACCCCGCTGTAGATCGTGTCATTCGCACGGAGGAGAGCGACAAAGAGACGCACAACGGACCCCAGGAGGAGGCTTCCATCCCATCATTGCAGGTATGCGGCTTGTCACGACTGATCTGACGCGCACAGGTTTCTGCCTTCTGTCTTCCCAAGGCAACTAAGGTGAATTCAGCTCTGACCTTAGGGCTGGTACGCAGAGAAGCATGGAGTGATTGCCCTCCTGAGGTTCCCGGGTAGTTAGGTCCCTTGCTTCTGTGTGGCTGTGGCCACCAGGTGGATTAACCTATTGGATTCTGCGTAGGTGAACAGCAGAGACCTTTAAACTCTACCGCGATCTTTCTTTTTAAATAAAAAACACCAGTGCCTACATATTGTCGTGAGGGTACCCCTTGATGATTTCCATTACAATGACAACCCGTCTCAAGTCAAGCATCATGTAATGGTTTAAAAAGCAGGCTTTGAATACTGTCCACCTACCTACCACATTAATATGCTCCCTGTAGGATCAGGAAGCCAGTGCAGACTTGAGCATGGTCTTAAGCATGTGGTCAAGTGAAATATCACTGTGTCTTTAGACTGTCTGAAGGAGAAAAGGAAAGAAGCAAGGCAGCAATTTGAAAACGTAAAACGTAGTAGTCTTATTCTTACCTTCATTGATGAATTAAAAACATTTGTCTTTCAGAATCCTACACAGGATGAGTTCCAAACTTTCTCAAATTAGGTTAAAAACATACAAAAAGATTCCAGCACTCAAGAGGCTGAGGCAGGAGGATTGTGAGTCCCAGGTCAGCCTGGACTGCACAGTTACAAAATAGGAATTGGAGACCATTGCACTAAATATAACTATTTTCAGGCAATGTCAACTCATAGTTCTGTTTATTTAATAGTCAAACTTACAGATTTCTCCCTATTTATTTTTGAAATGTAAGTTTTGTGTGGGCGGGGGAGAAGGCAATACAGTTATTTTCCTGGGGTTTCGCCATCTTTGATTCACAATTTTGAAGTTGGTTATGTAATTTTTCCCATGTTGATTACTTATGATTAAATTAACATTGCTTAATCATTTCCATCTTCCCGGAAAAGCCAAAGAGACTGAGTAACTCTGATAAAGGATTGGTCCTGTTTGGGGCAGTCCTCAAAGGCCGATATCTGCGGCCCTTATCCTCTGTAAGAAGTGCATTTCCTGGTTTGGGGACCATACAGAGTAGGGGGTCTCTTCAGGAGATATGCAGGTGCGGTAACCAGATGCAGTATCTGAACAGCATTCCTTCTAGCCAGCTCCTAATATTTCCTGGCAGTGGTAACCCATTCATTGATAGTTCATAGTTGGCTCAGCCCTCCGTGGTACCTAAGTTTCAGCATTGTCCTTATCCCAAATCATGTGACTGGCCAAGCAAGATAAGGAAGTTATAAGAAAGCTATTCACTTTGCATATCACCATGGAGAATTTAAGTTGACCCATTTTCTTTTAATCAGATGAATGTGTTCTTTCGTCACTAAGAAGAATACGTGCGTAGCTCTACCATGGAGATAGAAAAATATCACATTTTTGCCCTTTGACTAAAGTGAATGATCACACAGGACATTTTTTTAAAGTCAAAACAAGCAGTAGATGTGCTTAAGTAAGCTATGTTTAAAAAAGAACATGTTAGTACTATAGGTCAATATGTCTTGCATTTTGCATCACCAGAGAAACTGAGTGTAAAATGTTCACTCGTCAATGCATGTAACTGAACCAACTTAAGTCTTTTGCAGTTAAAATAGTTTATTGTTATTATCATTATTATTATTGGTGTGTGTGGAGTGTTGCATATGTGAAGATTAGAAGAAAAGTCTAGGAAGTCACTTCTGTCCTTTCACAGTGGTGTCTTGAGTTAAAATTCAGGTCATCAGACTGGCACAGCTGAGCCATCCTGCAAGCCTAGGTAATTTTATTATGAGCATTTATCTTCTATAATTTATTTCTCCTTGCAGTTCAACTCTAAGCCATGCTGGGTGTGTTGGTATTGACTAAGTGAGAATCTGAATACATTCACTTTGCATAGGCAGATACATTTGTGGCTTTACAAAAATATATGTATGTATCTGGATAAAGGCAGGAGCTACAGACATATATATGTACACACAATGTTTTAATTACTCATTGTTTTATGCTATCTTTTTTATAGAGAGAAGTACTCCAATGATCATTCTCTTTAAGCCTCACAATAGATAGCCAGAGATCTAGATTTCCTCAAACTATTACGGTACAATTTAAACAAATCATGGGCCTTCCATTATTTTAAAATACTGCTGCCTTAGCTGTCTTCTGATTCAAGAGAATGGTGCTCAATCCTGAGTTGAGTCCTGGGTTCTACTGATCCGAGATAACTGGCCTGACTGGGTCAAGGGCAAACTATGTGAGCCTGCAGCCTCCCAGGCATGGCAGACTGAGCCAGTCACATTTGTGCTCCAGTGCTGTGACAGCATATATGCCAAGAGGCAGACAAGAGCTCAGGGTTAGACTCCAGTAAGCAGTTAGGAGATCAGTAATGAATTATTTCAACCCCAGAAAATGTGCCCAGGATTGGGATTCTGACAGGTTCTACAAAGGACCAGCGTGTAAGATGAATTGCTTAGAAGAGGAAGACATGCAATTATAAATTTGATCTATGTTGGCATCTGCTTCTTCAATTACCTGCTTCTCATCCTATCACATAACTCTCTTGTCTCTAAGAATTGTACACATGGACTTAATAATGTGTAAAACCAAACCTGATCACATATCAGCCTTTAAAAATGTGGTCCTTAGACCATCCATTACAACACTAACCTACCACTTTGGCATACTTGCCATTGCTACCACTTCTAGTAGGAAAATCCCCTTGGCTGTCCAGACATCAACAGGCCCGGCCCTTGGTGGAGCCTTAATTTGTAGAGATGAGTCCCAGAGCCATGTGGGAGTTAAGAGGGTGGAGAATGGGATGTTTCATGCAGCAAGAATGTGAAGTGAGATTCTGTGATGGTGGGCAGCCTGAAATGAGAACCAGGAGCTGGAGGGAAAATGAGTCTATTTCCTCTGGTTAGCCTCAAGGATATATGTTTGGTTAGATGGCCTGAATATTTTCAACACTCTTTTCTGTGTTCCCAGGTAGACCACACACAGGTGTAAGATTGGAATCAACATGTTTGATGTGCTGGCAAGCCTGGCAATATAGGCCAGAAGGGGGCAGCATGCAAACTCAGAAATAAAGTGACACCTCTTCTCCATGAGTTTATACCAAGTTCCCAATGGCTACAGGATGCCTGTTCAAGCTTCTGTACCCTCCTCCCTTTGGAAAGCACAATGTAGAGTCGTATGAAAAGATATATCACCTAGAGAGATTGGTTTTAGATTTGCTCCATATTGGAGTTGCCTGAAATAAGGAGAGCAACAAACTATTATTAGTGAGTCCAGCTTATGTTTATTTTAGCTAGCTTCACCTGTTGACTCTACTCAAGCAATCCTTACACTTTTAGATGAAAGAATGGGAAACCACATGCAGGGAAGAAAGGAAGAGAAAGAACATAGTTCCTTGAGGCTTTACCAAGAATAATGCTGTTTTTGTTTGTTTGTTTTTCTTGCTGCTTCATCATCAGAACCAAACATTATTTTAAGTGTGCCTTTAGTGTAAGTTCAAGGCCAGAGTAATACTTTGGGAATCTGAACTTTGAAAGTGGAATAAGCTATTTCAGTGATAGCTAGAATCTAAAACATGCTAACAAAAACAAGAGTCAGGCATCTATTGCTAAGAGCTCAGAGATGGTTAAACCTAGCCCTTCCCAACTACATTGGAATTCCTGGCTATTGGGATTTATTGCTGTCTTTATCTTCAGAGATGGTTCTGAGAGTACATGCTCTAAATGTTCATAGAAGAAAGAATGCATTGCTCTTACAGAGTGTAACTGGCAGTGATGAATTCTAAGTGGCCATCTGTCCTCATTAGGTATCATTTAGCAGCTTAGAGGCGTTAGTTTTGGCAGATCCTGTCTCTTTGCTCTCTTTGGTTTATTCACCATAAAACTCACTACTGTATGTGAAGACTGGAGGAGAGGCTCAGAATGGGTCTTTGGAAGCCACACTGGAAATCACAGAGCAATCTCATTCTGGGAAAGCTATGGTTCCCTGGGGACCACTGGGCTCCTGACAGATGCCTCAAAGAAAAGAAAGTCAAGAAGTTTGATCAAGAAACCATGGCTTCAAGCTTGTAGGGTGGATTACGGGAGGCTCAGGGAGCTGCCCATGTGTGCATGAATGAGACCTTGAAAGCAATCATATCTACTTTTTTTTTCTAGGACCACTGTACTCTGTTGGAAGTGTGGTGCCCTTGAATAAAAAAAGAGGTTTTCAAGGACAAAATCAAGATTCCTTAGTGTCTGGGAGAAGAGTGAGGTCACTGTGTGTTTGCCCTCCCCCATGTAAAGCTGGATTGGTTTCTGTCACACTCCTACTTGCTATCTAGAACTGTGTGTGGTGCCTTGATGCTGGAGAAGCTCTGTGGAAGGGGAGATATTTATTCGGGGTTCGGATGGAGCCAAGTATACTGCTGTAAGAATAGGGTATAACAAGGGAGAGAGAAATGACTAATTCCAGAGACTGAGAAATAGTGTAAGTTTGTCATCTGTCATATAAGACCCAGGGCCTCAACTGATGCTTTCCAGTTTACTGTGGCTTAGCACTGCCACCCCTAACTCCCTTCAAATAGCCAAATAAACCACAGCTCATGTCTCTCCCTTTTTAAAATTATATTGAAATTAAAAACCCAAAAACCAATAGTAAGAGCTTTCTGGTTGGTACAATAACCTTAGTAAGAAGACATATTTGTGGAAACAGTTCACTGAAAAGCTTTTTCTGAATTTTTCATGCAAGGGAATTGAAATGAAGGGAATGCATAGTTTTAAGGAAGTTCTCTAGAGGTTTTGAACATGAACATGAGGCCAAGAAAACAAATACTTCCAAACATGTCTCTCCTGGTATGGGTTCATGTATGTCCCAGCCTAACATTCTCCTCATTCAGTATCAGAGCAGGTGGGAGGGAAGACATTTGGCAGGGGACCACCCTACTACTTCATGA